GTCTCGGGTGGTAATGAACTATTCTAGTACTATAAACAAATGATCTGAAATAGAAAATGTTATTTGGAAATGCCGAATATTTTTATTCGATTTTTGTGAAATGACCCTGCAAATAAATCGAATAGAAGCTATACTGTATAGTAAGTAATTATAAATTTACTATAAAATATTTTTTCAAGACTGGTTTTTCCAAACGCGACAGCTTTTTCGCATGACTGTAATGTGTAATTCACTAAGTTCATGTACTAAATTTTATAATACAATTATTATTACAGAAATACCTTATTATTTTTTTGATAAGTATTAATAATAAATAATAATAGTTTTAGTTATAATAATTTGTCAATCATTAATTTATAACTTGTTTTATTTTAGTAAAAACATTAGGACTGTGTAATGTTTTAAAATATTAATTTTTGTTTTTAATAATTGACTTTATCAATAACAATACTATTATTAACTATAAATTAATGACTCTTTGAGTTTTTAAAACAATCAAAATAGATGATAATTTATTGTATTATATATAAATATAATATAAAACTATAATATATAGTACATGTAAATGATATCATCTTTTTAATTTTTAATAACTTACTTCAGAGTTTTGCAATGAAAAAATTGGACCGTTTCCACATGATGATAGTTGCGCAGTACTTTTTGTTTACACAAGACTTTGTTCTCCTCCAAATGGTGTGTAAGAAGTATGAAGAGCTTCTCTTGATGTATCACTTCAACCCTATTTCAAATGCATCGATATTCCCAAACATCGAGACGCAGCATCTTTACTCCCTTGCAGACAAAAAGCTCCCTCATATTATGCACTTTATATACCATTACCCTATTACATATACTAATTACTTGAAACGCATTGAAACAATTAAAAAAGACCAAAATGAAGGAAAAAAAGTGCCTCAAGAGACATACCTCAAAATTGCTTTTTGTCGTGAGGATCCTTTCATACAAAAAGGTGATGTGTTGTATATACCAGAAGGCGTCACTCATATAGAAAGTGTTAATATACAAATGCGTACAACTAAAATCGTTTTCCCAACAACTGCAAAAGTCATTTGTCAACGCGCCTTCATGTATAACTATTCAAATTACGTTTTTAATGAGGGTTTGCTTTTTATTGAAAAAGAAGCGTTTTTGGGAAATAGTTTATATAACATCACATTGCCCAAAACATTAATTAATGTTGGGTCTTGTGCGTTTAAAAATTGTGATAGTTTAACTAATATCACAATTCTTGGTAAAACACATTTCACTTCTTGTTGTTTTCAGGGGTGTAAGCATTTAAAACAAGGTGACGTTGATAAAATCCCAAGACATGCTATGAACTGATTGGTGTTTTTCTTTTTGGTATATATAACATTTTAATAACAATTTTAATAACAATTTAAATAACAATTTTAATAACAATTTTAATAACAATTTTAATAACAATTTTAATAACAATTTTAATAACAATTGTTATAATTTGTTAAAATAAAAAAAACTAAAAATAATATGGCAATTTTTATATCATAAATAATACAAAAATCAATCAATGATTTTGAAAGGCATATTTCATTGAAATACTTCGGGAATTGTTAATGACAAAACAAACAAAAACAGATTTGTGAAAGTGAAAATTTCTTTTTCTTGGGATTTTTTTTTCTAAAATTTTTTGTTTAGTGATTAAATTAGACCCGAATTATTAAGTAACTTTTTCAAGGTGATTTCTTTTGAAAACCATCATGGAAAAGTTGTCAATCAAATGACAACTATTGTAAATTAAAAAATTAGTTCATTTTAAGATACTTTGATAACTAATATTTAAATAAAATATACTAAACCATAATAATAATTGACAGTTTTTTAACTTGAGATGCGTTTTGTAAAGAATTGCCCAACACTTCCAAATAGGTTGCATGAAGACCTGACATTTTAAAACTGTTTTTCTGACAAAAAAAACAATATTTACAATAAATCAAATCGATAATTTAAAATAATTAAAAAAATACAACGAAAAGACCTAAATGCCGAGAACTTTTTTTTTAATTCAAAACGAAATGATTTTTTCATCAATTTTTTTTTGTCCAGAGACCTTTTGTAAAAAAGAGCAAATAATTTGCTTATTTTTCGGGGTACTTTCTTTAATTATTGGGCGTCATAATTATCCCGTTCGAAAAACGTCTAAATGTTGTTTTAAACAAAACAAATAATCCACGAAATTTTTTTATACAATCGGGAATCAATACCATAAAATAACAAAAAACACAATCTTTCATTTTTTTGATTTTTGCCGAACTTCTTTAGAGCAACGATTTGCATTTTTAGAAACTCTATAAAAATGGGTATTTTTCATAGTCACAACATACTTTTCAAAAGTCCATCAATTCGGGCCTTTTCCTTCATTTTTTGGTTCTCAAACCTTCCCAAATTTGCTCTTCTAAAAGTTTCAACAACAAAAGAACTATAGGCAAAATCATATAATTAGTAAAGAGGAATTTGGGTGGGGAATTGGGAGAGTTCATATCATATTTCTGAGAAATATCAAGCAAAACGACCAAAGTGTTTTCATTTCTCATATTGGTATAAATTGACACACAACTCAAAAAATTAAACAGTCCTTTACTCATGTCCGTCAAATTAAGTGAATTGTTCACCACTGCAATTCGGCCAACGTCATGTCCTGAATTACAAGACATGCAAACGATCGCTTCTGTCATCGAAAAGATACCAAACGCGTCGGTAAGTTTTCGACATCAAATCGAGCAAAAGATGAAATTATACATCCAGTCGAAAATGACTGTCCATGAGATGATGAATACATTACTCTTAGCGAATTATGTGGTTCAGAACTCGCCTACATTCAGAACACAAGTCTGTGAGTTGTCGTTTCTTACACTTCTCCAACAAGTTGGGAAGATGAGGAAAGTGCATACGGAGACCGACGAAGTCGAAGATAAAGTTCGAGAATTGATAGCCGTCTGGGGGTGCTTCTACCCAAATGAATTGTCCGAATACGCCGTGTTGTATCAGAAATATTTAGAACTTGGTGTTATTAATCCATTGAGTAAACCAACCATCTTGCTACCCAATGAAATCACACGACTTGTCCCTCATGTGGAACACAACCTAAGAAATGTGGCAAGAGCTCTTCAAGATAAATTAGATATGCAGAATGTACTTAGACATGCCGTCAAGATCCAAGTGTTTGTTTTCAAGTTATAGTTATTTATTAATAATAATATACTATTATTAATAGTAATAATAATTAAATAATATATTTATAATAAGGAAATATGAGAAACAAGTCGAGAAGTGCTTTGGTGATATTAAGTCGTATGATGCTCAGAAACTCTACGAGTTAGAGCAACTGAATGTCCGCTTAAGAAATTCAATTGCCGAATTGAAGGGAGAAGTTATGTTTGTTTTCCTTGCTCTTTATTTTATTGAGTTTATACCCGTTGCAGAATGAAATGGACTAATAACAAAGTAAAAGTGGAGAAACTGAGGTTGTCTGTGAATCGACATCAATGAAAGAACCATGTCTAGAATGTCCCACTCAAACAATATCATTATTGAACAAACGATCTATTGTAGGGAGTCGCGCAGTGTTACACTTTCGAGGTGATTCTTTGAAGACGACCAAATTTGTTAGCCGAGAAATGAAGGTCGACAACAGAGAGGACAGTAAGAGAAATGTAATTTCACCAATCAAAATGTCTCGCAATGTTTCTTCTGAAGTGTTTGTATTTGATGAGGAGATGGATGTGACTGATGGAAAAAGAGGAGTTTCAAGCTTTTTTTGAGCAATAGTTGTATATTTACTCCACTTGAACTAATTGTGTTACTCGTAATCTATTAGTTTTATTTATTAGATAAAATAACATATAATTATTTTAATAGTATTATAATTTTATTATATTTAACTCTAATTTATTAATTGATTTATTATTTAAAAAATATAATTTATATTATAATATATTATACTATATTTTAGTTTTAAGAATATAGTTCATATTATCATTTAAAATATTATTAATATAACTTGCCATATAGATTTATTGTATTATCTTTAATTCTTTCTTTTTAATTTACAATTTATAACAACGTATATATTTTTATAATAAAAATCGTTTTGTATTTTTTGTTGCTTTTTTATTAATTTCAATCAATTCAATTATAGTGTTTTGTGATATTTGTTGTTTTATTCAATGTCATCATTAAGTAATCACAAGTTTAAAAATTCAAATGAATGTGATTGTTGTTGTGAGTATTATATAAAATTTAGTAAAATTGATGTTGAAACTGTTCTTGAATATAATATGATTTAATTATAAAATAAAATGTTAATATAAGTTTGAGTTAGTTGAACTTGTTGAGATTGCATGAATATACAGTCATTATTCGATATAAGGGAATACCGGGTACCAATGTTATTCGATATAAGGGAAAAAATGAGGAATTGTATAATTAACAAAAAAATCCCTCGGTTTGTTTTTTGTCACAAAAATTATTATTTTTGATTATTATTTTTTTCTAACCAAAATAAACACTTTGCCTATATCTTAAAAACAATTGGCAATTATTTTTATCTTAAAGAAATAATAAATTGTATAATAAATCAAAAAACAAAGACAAATATATTAACACAATTAACATAATAAATAAAACTTTTGTAAATAACTTTGTTTCGACTTAAAAACTTCAAATAAATCTGTTAAATCATTAAGTTTTAACGCAATCCAAATGTGTTAAAACAAGAACATCATTGATGTTACGAGACAAAATAAAAATTATTGAATTAATTGATCCTTATCAAAATTCACAAAAAGTAATCAAAGTTGTCGGACAACAACTGAAAATAGTAATTTCTCCAAAGCAAGTTTATCATTTGCGTTCAATTCCTAAAGAAACATTGATAATTTTTTATCCTCGTATAAACGAATAAAAAAACCACAGAACCTGGAACTTGAGGAAGCAATGATTAATTGGTTTCATGAAGTTCGTTAAGCGGGAATACCAATTGATTATTATACGTTGTCAAGGAAAGTATACTTTTTGAAAGAATGCAAATACATTCATTGTATTATTTCAAAATAAAATTTTCTTGTTTATCTATTTTTATTATAATTATAATATTTTGTTTATTTTAATTAAAAATATAATAAAACATAGTTTTTATATTATTTTAATTGTCTTTTTAACTTAGTGACAAATTAATCCAATTATTACCATTTTTGGGTTTTTAAATTGAAATAACCAACAAAAAGCAAACACATAAATTTCTTTTTTTTATTTTTTTTCTATTATTCGATATAAGGGCTTCCTCTTATTTTTCTCCCTTATATCGAATAAATCCTTATATCGAATATTGACTGTATTATATTTACTGAAAACAAACAAATTTTGAATTAATAGCGATATGGTTTATTTATAGAGTTTAAAAGTAGTTTTAATGTTTTGTTATCAGTTTTCAAATATTGTATATTTGAATTAATCAATTAAAAATCAATGTAATGCTAAAATTTGTATTCGAATACAATATACTTAACTTTTAATAAGATTGTTAAGTTATATAATAATCGAATTATTAAAAAAGTAAAAGTAAGATAATCGCATCTTAACCATTTTATATATATATATAAAATAATAAAACGAGTTAGTGATACTGTTCTGTTGTGCTTTGTCTTGTCTTTTTCCATTTTTGAATTCCATTTTCAGAAGTAATTATTTGAGGAACGAAAAGCAATTAATTTGTTCATCAATTTGTATTTTTTTTTATAATAAAATAAATTAGAATGATAGTACACATTCAAAACATTACTTCACAATTCGAATCAAAGTTTTAAAACAAAAATAGGAATAAAAAATCCATATGACAATTTTGTTCATACAGCCAAATTGATTGATTTGTATTGGCAATGAAAGACTAATAAAAAATACAATTACAAAACGACAAAATCTCGAGGGGATGCTGGGACGAACGCGGAAGGTGTTCCAACGTTTGATGGTGATCTTCTTTTTTCCTTGAGTTTCGAAAGGTATGAGAAGAATCTGTTTTTGACTGTGTTTGCTGCTCTTCCAGGCAAAAACTTTGAGATTTCAGTCCATCGATTTCCAAGCTCTTCCTGTTTCTTCAAAATCAAAGAGTCTTCCTCTTTTGACCAAGCAGCTGTCTTCTGGACATTTTCATCCAAATGATTTAAATACCTCTCGCGACATTGTTTCCGTGTACGACCGGGAACAACTTGGGAAACGGCCTTCCAACAGTTTTTACCAAACTCTTCAACGCCTTTCTTTAATAAATAATCTTCCTTTTCGGACCATATCTTCGCTGGTTTACGAGTCTTCTTCGAACTGTTTGAAGAAGAGGAGCAACTCTCGTGATTGCATTGGGAATGAGAAGTAATGAGAGACATTTGATTGTGTTTTGTTTGATCCGTTTATATACCCAAGGGCTTTGTGGCTGTTGATTGAAGTTTATTTTTGCAACTGCCCTCATAGACTCATAAATTTCATATTTAATATAGAACGCTTCATAACTCGCCATTTTTAATAACAATTTCGGGAACTTGGCGAGCCAAAAAAAGCTTTTAAAATATTTATGGCTGTTTTGTTTGAAATGTCGGTTTGAAAAACAACAAGTTTAAAAAACTGGCGAACAGTCATCCTTAGGGC